TCGAATATTTAAATTCAAATTCCTACTTCAGTCATTTCGAATGATGAGTATGAGAAAATAGCGTTATTTGTAGGATTTATCGGTTAACAGTTATTTATCCGTATTCATTATCTGTAGCTAATATTAACAAAAGATGGAGATTTTGGGATTTCATCATCATTATATGGATTGATTTTATCAAGACAAACAGACGAAAATCAGGAGGCACTGAACATCATGGAACTTCTTAACGAAAGCTTCCATGAACTTCAGATCTCGCTGTATTATAATTCATTAGATGATATATTGATGGATTAACCACATTAACAAAATGTCAGTTAACCTTACTGTGTTAAAATAAACATTCTGTGATTTAAACCAAGGAAAATACACAATGCATGTTGATATGAAGTATTTTATGTACAATACTGTATGCCATTTTGTAAATTATTTCAGTAAGTTTTGGAGTACCCAATCAAACAGCAAGTCGTAAGTGCTTGCACAGTAGAATGATTTGATGCAGCTTTTTTCTCCGAACTTCATGGTTTAGTCGTTTCCTATCCACAAACTTACAAGTTCTCATTGTGTTCACTTGATAAAGCCAATGTAACAGGTATACAGGATACATGTTATACTTTTTCATAAGTAGTACGTGTTGATGATTTCAGTTAAATAAGCTTGAAACTCACTGATAAAAGTTTTTTACTCCGATATATAAGTTAAACAATTCCTGTATAAAATGCTGTTCACAATAGTCAACTGAAACTGTCAAATGAGAACAAATCAATATGAGATTATGCAATAAAGTGTCAAAAAAATCAATTACAAACATCCTACAATAATCTTTCATCATCATGAATGATTTATTGTCGTATGCATATTTGAATCTCTGCCTACTTTCGTTATGCTGCACATTCTTCATATAGATACTAGTTATCATTTCACAATGTCTGTTGGCCACACTACTAACAATAACAGCATCAACGATCATCAAAATATTAGCATCATTACTGTTGGCACTGCTCAAACGAATAACATAGATAGTCCAGTGTTCTACGAGTTTAAAGCCAAACATGAAACATACTTTCAGATTGTATTTCAGAGGACTTTTGTCGCAATCAAATAATATCCAGATTCTTTGATCTCTTCATCTTACTTGTTACTAAAGTAGAATGGTGTTAAAATCGTCAACTGTATTATCGAACAACCGTACTTCACTTCCGACATAAGTAGTAAAACAGAAATAATTGTTACATCTGACATGTACAGCTAAAACTAGGGATTGGACAATACATTCCCGTTTAAAATTAGTATGAAATCGAGGAAAATAATAAATACTTCATTCGATTCATTCCTATAAATACAAAAGTTATAAGAATGTTGAAAGATCTAACATTATTTCGCAGTAATATTTTATCTCCATGATTAAAGTTCTCGATAAAGATAAAAGGTTTCACATTGATTCACGCAGGCATTATGAATGAAAAACGGCAGATGGAGGCAAAAGGTTGGTATATTCAACATTTGATTTAGAAAAAGTGAATCTTAATTTCTGGAATTTCTAATATGTGGTGTTCGCATTGATCAGTTGTTCTCCAATATATAGTAACACCGGAAACGACATCATTATTCAAAACACAATGAATATACATATTCCTTTGTGATCATGTCATAATATTTGACAAAAAGCTCTAGAATAGCAAGTGAACACACACTCATCAACCACTGCCACAAATAAATAAAATCATGTTTGGACCTAAAAGTAAACAGTAATATCAACACAATGCAGGAACAGGATGACGATAATATTTCCCCGTCACGATTCAGCAAAGTACTTAATTTCCATAATGCAAAACTGGATACCGTAGATAAACTGTCGTTTCAAAAAGTGAATCGTTTATCCTAGCTCGTGACATATTTGGCATCACACGAAATTTCACACGAAGCAGTCGCTTATCATCAAAAGAGTTATGCATTTAGACTCCATAGGATTGAGAATTTTGAACATTATCTGCAAATTATTTCAACTCTATTACACGAATGAGGAAATAACCTATTGACCGAAAAAAAAGTAAACGTTAATATTAATTCTATAAATGATAATGGTTTTAATTTAAAGGAAAAAGAATTGGTCAAATTGAACAAAGATTAGGTAAGTTGTACATTGAAATTATTTTAGTCAATAGCAGTCTTGCAACTGATTAGAAGGACTCCGATAAAAATGCGCTAACTATGATTTTTGAGAGTTATTTGAAAAGAAACTGAAGTTAATGATCCGTTCAAATGACAATGATTAACATCGATAACAAATATGTCATAAATAAACTATACAGGAAGAGTTTGATTGCATCACATTATTCACCTACAAAAGTCTATTATATCACATACGTTTATTAGAATTTCACAAAAATAATGAATATTCAACTCCGAATTTCAGATGCCCTGGATAGAAAACCGAAACAAGAGACACATGGTAAATTTTGATCACGCACAGATCTATTAAATATTCATGAAAAAATAATTGATAACATTTCGTTCAACCTTAAATATTGTTCACCGTTCCAGCTGATTGAATTATTCATGACATCTTCATAAGCACAACAACAGTCATCTTATATAGACAGCATCATACTTAACATGACTTGCGTTCAACTAGAGAAGCACTTTCCAATGTTTTGCAGCTGTTGAATACATCAACACATTCCGAGACTGTTAATTCTTCAGCATTGGTGCATGAAGATGATCGATATTGCAAGCTGGTTTTGAGATTTGTCGGCGCATCAACTACACGTAATTCAGGAGTACCAATAAGCACCTTCTACAAAAGTTTGCAGTCTTCGCGATTTCACTGATGTGTGCAAAGTACTAAAATTAACTTGAGTATCATTTGGAAAGTAAACAAAACGAGCCCTTCGTTTACCAAATTCGTTTTCCTATATTATTCAACCCTACATTTTAGGGTCTTCCATTTGTTGTTATCTCGATCCCTGAACATTTTTCTTGTTGTCTTGGCTCTCATTCAGCAGAAACCGGAACATAATGATGCATTCATAAATGATGTCTGTAGGCACAGGATGACGATTATATGTCTCCGTCACTATTTAATTTAATTTGCATCACACGATGTTGCACAGCAAGCAATAGCTTTTCATATATGTGAGGTTATGCTTTCCATGTATTCCATGAGATTAGGAATTTTGAACATTATCTGCAAATACTTTTAATACTTTTGAATAATTATGCCACAAGTATGCTATTGGCCATGATATTAGTAAGCAAGAAATCATTTATAAACTTTTGTACACTATTTTACCGTCAACAGAAAGTATACTTATCAAACTAGAACAAGTACTAAGTAAGTTTCATTTTTTGAAATATTTTAGCCTATAATGATAACAATGATGCAAAAATAGAGGTGGACGAATTATTGGAATTTTGACAATTTTAAAAAGCACAATGGAAGAAATCATGCGCCTTCATCAGCGTGAATCGCAACGATTCTAACTAAGTCATACAAACACGATAAAATCAATGACTGCTGGCAGCAATTCATTCTTATGCACAATTTAAAAAAATTGAATCAAATTAAGGAAGCAAAATCTTATGTTCCTATTATTTTTATAGAATATTTGGAGAGCGCCACTAACCCGAATACCGATCGTAAGTAATAAAAACGTTTACTTTGCTAAATAAGCGACATACAGTTATCTAGTTAAATGTTGAGAAAAAAAGAACCGTTTCGTGTATCGAATTAATTATCTGGACATATTCAGCTCTCAAGATCAAGGTGATGTTCAGCCCAATTTCTCGGTTTCAACAAAAACCCGAACATAATGTTGCATGCAAAAATGATGTCTGTAGGCACATGATGACGATAATATTTCCACGTCACGATTCAGCAAAGTACTTAATTTCCAAAATGATAAACTGGATATCATAGATAAACTGTCGTTTCTAAACGTAAATCGTGTGTCTAAGCTTATGACTTTGTAGTAATACCTAATAAATATACCACTAAGCTGGATAACATATGATAATACCCTTCACACTAAGAATCAGATAAAAGATTATTCTAGAGCAAGAGTTATATTTTATCCTAGCCTCGTGATATCGAAATAATCACGGGACTAGGATATATGAGGGGCTAACAGCTAGCGAGGTGGGAAGGCCTAAAGGCAAAGACACGCTTGGAACTCGGCAGATATTCTTTGGTAAAGGAAAAAGCAAGAGGTGTACAATATAAAAACTACAGTCAGAATTAGGTACAATAATAAATGTTTATATTTCAAAAATTGTGTTTTCTTCGTAAAAGTATACCACTATAACTTATTCAGCATCACACGATGTTGCACAGCAAGCAATAGCTTTTCATCAATGTGAAGTCATGCATTGCACGTATTCCATGATATTCAGAATTTTGAACATTATCTGCATACACTTCTAACTATAGTGAATGATCAATAAATATATAAGCTTAAAACATTAATTATATAATTAATCATGAATCGTTCAAACAGAGTTGGAGATTATCTCAAATGCACAAGCACAAAGTAAGTTTTCACTATTTGTGAGATATATATAACAGCAATTTTGATCATATACAAATTATCAAAACATACACAAGCTAAATCTCAAAATCCAGACTAATTCTAAAAGGCACTGATATAAATTTAGCATAAGGTTCCGTAAAATTTGTATCATTCCAAAGATGTTATTCGTGCACTATGTAGGCAGTGTTTGCTTGCATCAAATCAATGACCTACCAAAGTCTAATACATCACACACGTTTATTCGGATTTCACAAAAACAATAAATGTTCCTCCTGTTTTTCAGTTAAAGAATATATTTCTTCGAAAAACCCAACCATTGGTAACGTTCAATGCACAATGATCCTTTAAAAATTCATGTCAAAATATTTGATAACATTTCATTCAACCTTAAATATTGTTCACTGTTCCAACTGATTGAATTATTCATGACATCTTTATAAGCATGACAACAGTCATTCTATATAGACAGCATCATACTTCACATGACTTGCGTTCAACTGGAGAAGCACTTTTCAATGTTTTGCAGCTGTCGACAAAATCAACACATTCCGCGTCTGTTGATTCTTTAGCATTGGTGCATGAAGATGATCGATATTGCAAGCTGGTTTTGAGATTTGTCGGCGCATCAACAACGCGTTTTTTGTGTCCAACAGATATTGACTGTTCATGTAATTCAGGAGTACCAATATGCATCTTTCTACAAAAGTTTGCAGTCTTCGCGATTTCACTGATGTATACAAACTACCCAAATGGACATAACTTATTTCTGGGAATCTAAACCCTTTCGAAAACATACCGAAAGAAACCACGCCTGCTGATCAATATGATTTGCATCCATTCTAACCGTGTTATAACCACACCACAAAAGCACGAGTTCATGCGCGTACTCAGTTCTATGCTTTCAAATACGTTCCCCCAGATTTGTCAGTCTCAGTTTATGTTCGATTATATGTTTCAGTGTATTATGATAACCGTTCAAACTACATAACAGAAGGCCAATTTATTAATCATGTCAATTTTATATCAAAAGACATGACATTTCGCCGTGACGATTGAATTTACTTTGCATCACACGATTTGGCACAGAAAGCAATAGCTTTTCATGAATGTGTGGTTATGCATTCCATGTATTCCATGAGATTCAGAATTCTGAACATTAACTGCAAATACTTTTAACACTATTCAGTGATGCCTCAAATATATCATAGGTCAATAAATGTTTTTGCAAATTTCTTTTAATTTTCCTGTATATTTCATGGATAACAGAAGAAAAAGCTCTTAAACTTGAGGAAATTCTAAGTAAATTTCATCTTTGTATTTGTTTTTCGCGACAGAATTTTTATTTATATAAACTTATCACGTAAATCCTCTAGAGCAGATATAGGTTAGCTTTTGTTTTTAGAAGTGTTACAGAATTAAATTTTGTGTGTTCGAAAGTGGAATTTCAGCTACTCTGACAGATAACGAAAGCAGTGTTTGTCGACTGTGATTTATTTGCAAGCTGAAATTTAGTTCTTCACTCTCATCGCTCACATATTTCAGTATTGATTCCTTCCTTTATTCATTCCTAGGAAATTTAGGAAGCATTTCAAACTATTCTCCGAATGGTATGTTCTATCATCTTATCATTTTTTTTTTTCAAAAACAATCTTTATCCTTTCAAATTTGAACAAAATCTTCCGTTTTGTGTATCACATTGATTATCTGGACATATTCAACTCTCAAGATCAAGGTGATGTTCAGCCCAATTTCTCGGTTTCAACAAAAACCCGAACATAATGTGGCATACAGAAATGATGTCTGTAGGCACATGATGACGATAATATTTCCTCGTCACGATTCAGCAAAGTACTTAATTTCCAAAATGATAAACTGGATATCATAGATAAACTGTCGTTTCTTTACATAAATCGCGTGCCTAACCTAATGACTAATTTTGCATCACACGAAGTTACCTACAAAGCAATAACTTTTCATCAATAAGAGGTTATGCATTCTATGTATTCCATGAGATTCAGAATTTTGAACATTATCCGCAAACGCTTTTAACTCTGTTGAAGCATTCCACAAATACTATTATGATCATTAAATACATAAGCTTAATACCTGTATGTAAATTCGATTACTCATTTCTGCCAATAGACCGAATGTATTATGATATGGGAGTAACATTAAGTAAGTTGCCATTTTTGAAATCGATTTAAACGTTAGCCGTATCAGTGTCTTACACAAACATACCCAATCAGAAGTGAGCTGATTCTCGTAATCTAGACTAACTCGAAAAGCAATGAAATAAATGCAGCATAAGGTTTAACATGATTTCTATCATCCTATCAATGTTATGAATATCCTACAAGAGGTCTATTACATCACACACGTTTATTCGGATTTCACAAAAACAATAAATGTTCCTCCTGTTTTTCAGTACAACAGTATAAATCATTGAATGCATAAAGAACAGGTAAATATATTGTCACACAGTATTCCTCTAAATATTCATGTCAAAATATTTGATAACATTTCATTCAACCTTAAATATTGTTCACTGTTCCAACTGATTGAATTATTCATGACATCTTTATAAGCACGACAACAGTCATTCTATATAGACAGCATCATACTTCACATGACTTGCGTTCAACTGGAGAAGCAATTTCCAATGTTTTGCAGCTGTTGAAAACATCAACACATTCCGCGACTGTTAATTCTTCAGCATTGGTGCATGAAGATGATCGATATTGCAAGCTGGTTTTGAGATTTGTCGGCGCATCAACTACACGTAATTCAGGAGTACCAATATGCATCTTTCTACAAAAGTTTGCAGTCTTCGCGATTTCATTGATGTATGCAAAGTACTAAAATTAACTTGAGTATCATTTGGAATGTAAACAAAAGGAGCCCTTCGTTTACCAAATTCGTTTTCCTATATTATTCAACCCTACATATTAGGGTCTTCCATTTGTTGTTATCTCGATCCCTGAACATTTTTCGTGTTGTCTGGGCTCTCATTTATTTATCCGTTCATGTCTGAATCATTTTTTGCTTTTTCGAAATGTTAGTCAACACTTATCACCATTGATTTTTGTTGCGAATACATCCCATAATCAGTAGTGACAGGATTGCCTTGATATCTAGCTGTCATAAAACATGTTGCATATCGTCTTCAAAATGCGTTTCAGGAGATTTGTAAAGTAACACTTCATGTTTTAATTTTACGGAGCTGCACAAACCAACTAAGTTCTAAGTCACATCCACAGTTTTCCCTAGTTCTACTACGATTTATCCTGTTACTATTGAATGTGTACTACTTTTGATAACCTGTTAGTAGATCATCTTCAGGTTTAACGAGTCGCTCTATGCTAAAAAATGTATCTCTTTCCTGTTATTAGCCGGAATTTCGTAAATGTTTATATGTAGTGTAACTAATTCTCCATATTCAAATGCAATGTCGGTACCAACGTACCAACTTGTGGATTCGAGAAACTAAGTCTCATCGTTCGAAAGAAACGATACGTTTATTAGTTAAATTGGAGAGATTTTATACATCCTAAACAGTCATCCAACATTATGTCTCAATAACAATCAATTTTTATAGTCATTTTTAAGTTTCCTCTATTGTATTAATCTTCACTTCACCGTATTTCCAATATTTTGGAAAAATTGGGCCTATATGGACCTTTAGCATGTTCTTTTTCAGTTTAGTCTATTGATTGTATTTTAAGGATTCTTTCACAGATGATGGTTAGATATGCTTCACAAATGTCCTTCTAATGGAAAATCGACTACTTAGTATAGATTTATACCATACAGCTCTATAAAAATATCATAAACTCACAGAATATCGGCGACTTCATTATAATTTCAGGCGACTTTTCAACAAATATTTTCACGCTTTTTGAGCACCTTGATCGAGATAAAATTTCTTTTTCATTTCAGAGTATCATACATTCAACAACTCGAAGAATGAACACATAAAATAAATATATATTTAGTAACACATTCTTGAGTATATTTGTAATTTGATACGATATTTTTAAATAAATTCACAATATGGATCATATCATTTTAGTTTTGAAACCTTATAATGAAATCACGATAACAAATTTGTTCAGCATTTCTCGTTGATATTTTAGATAATATTATGAGCATAAAGTAATTGTAAGGTGGTGGTTGTACAAATTTGATCGAAGACCTTGGAGCTAGACTTCGTGCTACTTGGAACTCGTCAGCTAGGTGCACCTATAATCTTCCAGAACTGATGTCCGATGCCTCGTCAGAGATTTCAAAGAAGGACCCCGGTTGCGACTAACCTATAGTGGGGGAAGATTCATTTTTGATTGATCGATCACCGGACAGTGTCTGAAGTCGTGTACTTCAAGTCCTTCTTAGAGCTGATCGAATTTTATCTATGGAGTTACAGTTCTGCCACCAACATAGATAATTTGACATCATTAATTCTGCCTTATGTATCACATAAAATTGCAAACTATCAAACTAACTTATTTGCTGATTTATAAGATAATTATGAACTTCAAACTTCTGTAATTAGTGGTAATATGTATTGAATCTGTAAGCTGTTATTCACAATATTTTGAATGTGACTCTTTTTCTAACTTTGTTTGGTAAACGTCTATGTGGATAACTCCAGTGAATATGAGTTGTTCTGTGCCCGTAACAGAATTAAAGACAACTGAGTAACGAAATCGTCTTTTCGTCGTTAATCAATCAATCATTGGTAGGCCCAGAGGTTGGGTGTTGGCGCACAATAACGAGGTTCTAGGTTAGAATCCTGCGAGATGCAGGAGTCGTGAATGCTCACTGCTGATGAGTCCCATACCGGGACGAAAAGGCTGTCCAGTGCTTCCAGGTGTTTAATGGTGGTCTAACAATTATTGACCGATGATTTCAAATGTGTAAAAACACTTATCTCCATAACTCTAATTGAAAATATTCCAATTGTTTGTTTGGTGATCTCTGTTTTGTATGCAAAGATCTTGCTTCCTCCTTTGTGCAAGTTGAGGCCTACTACTGCATAGGCCGTTGTTACCCTGACTGTCTTCAAATTCATTTATTGCTTGAAATGGGAGAGTAGAGCCAGATCATCAACGACGCCCAAATCTCTAGGGTATTGAGGTTTTCATAATATCCTCAACAACCAGAGCAATCAGAAGTGGTGAGGGTAAGATAACTTACCTGACATCAGTTTTCACATGTAATGTACCTGTTGGTCATCCTCTAGACATGATTATGCTCTGTGACCAGTCATACAAATTTTGGGTAACGTTGGCTAATAAGAAGAACTAAATCAACTCAGGCATAACCGAGTAAGTGAACAGAAGTTAATACTAATTGCAAGATCAGTAAGAGCGGAGTTACCGGTGAATACATTTCGATACATGATGTCTCACTAAACTAAAAAAATTTAGGAATTTCAGGACTTTGTAGATTTACTTTATGAATAAACAATAGATCTAAAATTCTACTATCTTCGTAAATCCTATACGTTAACAACAATCATTTCCCGACCAGCGATCAGTTTCAAGATCGCACCCCAGTATTTCGAATAAATAGTGATCATTTAAGTTAAAAATTAACAAACTGGATTTCAATTTCATTGCAACCAAAACTCTCTGGAAATAATTACACAAAAGTCAAAATTCGTAAGAATTTAGAATTATTACTTGTTTCATTCAAATCACCGAAATTAGCGCTATTGAAGCTTAATCTATCAATTGATTCCTGCGACTGTTGTATTTTTGTCGTTTAGATAAAATTTAGTCATTTGAAGAATATGATCATGTATTTATTTGCTAAGAAATTATATTAGAAAAAAAATTTTATGTTAAAGATGACAATTCCAAAGATAAGAAGAGCAACGTTAAGAAATATAATATGAGTTGATGAATCAGTATTGTCAGAGTAAGTACAAATAGTGTATGAACACATATAGGAAGAGTTTGAACTTTTGCATGACTAAGGCTTCAATGAAACTAAATGTTCGCCTTAGAACAAGTTTAAGTAAAATCTTAAATATTTAGCTAGAACCAATCTTCAAATCTATTTCAACTAAGTCTTTAAGAATAGATGTTTTATCATTGGTTCTATATATAGTCGTCAGTTGATTTTAATTAATTTATGGGACATTAAGCTGGTCTGTGGCTTATTGCTGAACAAGAGATAACAGATATAAGTGAATTGAACTGATCAAGCTACAATAGCTTTGCATAAACACACGATACAGAGTTACTCAGTAAAATCGGAAAACCATATCGTAAATCGTTCATCTGCAAAAGATCAGTTCATCCTATGGAACTGGACTGTTCCTGTTGCAAAACATCAATCCATTGTCATTATTCATGCATTTCATACAAATTCCATTGTTTTCTAACTCTTCCTTTCTTGATCTTCCCCCTATATTATGCTACCAGACTTTACGTTGACACTCACGTCATATACTACTTATAAGTAGTTCGCACAACAGCACCACATACGTACTTTACATCATAAACTTCAACTTCTCACTTCATTAATTGACTTATTTTAAGAAAAAAAATTTACCAAAACACCATTAATGAATCTGAATTAAAAAATTATCAGTTTTATTTTTTTTAATTACCACTATTTTATCCATTAGATGTGTGATTTGATTGGTTGATTTGTTTAGCACATCTACAATTCACAAAGTTTTGATGGTTGTTTACTCGAAATTCGAGAAACAACTCACTGACCTATCAGTTCATCGATTTACTCTCTATTGAATTCTATCAAACAGTTTATCGATTAATTAGATCAGTATTTTGATGTTTTTTTTTGTTCTTAACTAACCAACATTTTATCTCTTTACCCTATTAGTTAGTTAATTAAAAGAACCTAAAATGTTTGCTTATTAGAAATAATTATGAATCAAGTTCATTTAATACAAAAAAAAAAAATACAAAATTTTTCAAAAACTATTGAATAATGAAACGAATTAATGAAAACGAATTTAAACAACTTTGCCGTTTATTACAAATACAAACAGATGTAACAATAAAAGATTTAAGAAAAGCATATTATCAATTAGCTAAAAATTATCATCCAGATAAAAATCCTGGCGATGAATTAGCTACAACACATTTTATTCTTGTCAGTCGAGCATATCAAACTTTATGCACTGAATTACATCATAGAAATGCAAAACGTTCAATGGAAAGTTGTACCAAGTAAGCTAAATTAGATTTATTGTGCACTAACTATTTAATGCTATAAATTTACTTCATTTTTACCCAAATGCCTTCTTATCAATGTAACAGTTGTGATGTTTTGGATAATAAAATCTACACTATTAAAGTCTCACCTTTCTTATAAGTGAAAAATGACATTATCTTCATTATCATTCAAGATGCATAAAACATATATACTAGATGATATTTTTTAAAACTTCATAAGTCTATCTGGTAGGACGTCTTGTCGTAGGATGGGACTCACCAGTGTGCATTTATAACCGCGCAACTGGGATCTGAACCCAAAATATTCACTCTCGTATGCGAGCGCCTAACCTCCACTTAATTGAGCCCATATAGAAGTTTGTTAGTTTGCAACTCTAGTCAATATACGACAATATCCAACCGGCATCCACTACTTGAGGCGAAATTTTTTTTACATTCGACATGGATAGCAATGCACATTAGTATTACTAAGATCTCAGGCATCATAAATCGTTATTTCTAAACTTGGTTTAGCAACGTCTTGGTATGTGTGGAATCATGGGCTTGCTCCTTTCAATTGTAATCAGTTTGGTAGCCTAGTATGTTTTCTGACTTAAGTTGAAATCGTTTAATTTACTGCTAAATGATAGAGATTTGATATGATAAAGATATTTAAAAAGGCTTATTTCTGTATTATATTATTGCTTACAATGCATTTCAACACACTGAATTTTAGTGTGGCTTGTATGATTAGTTAAACAAGCTGTCGATAAAACGTAACAGCTTTTCTTATTATCATAGTCATATAGCTATGTTTATTGAAGCTTATTTCGTCAGTGAACTGAAATACTTCTATGAAAAACTGAATATATTCGATCAGAGATTTTATAAGTCAAAATCTTATTTAAAGAGTCATAGCGGTTATTGAAGAAGTGCAGATTTGTAGCTTGTCTAAGTGCATGAAATAGTGTTGTATTCTATGAATTGAAAACCATTCATCGACGTTCTAAACAAAATAATCGATGCTTCCTTCATAGAAAATTTAACGCCTACATCTAAGCGAATTGGTTCAAAGAAACTCAAATTATCAACATAATTATTACTTAGCACACTTTCATTTCTTCTTCCAATTTCTTTATCTTTATCGATTTTGACATTAAAACTTTTAAGTTCAAATCAGAAAGAGAGAAAATCCAGTATTGTAGAACAATTTTTATCAGATTTGAAACGACAGGATGTTGACTGGCCAAAATCAAATAGTTTGTACAATGAAAAAGACAATTGTAACTCACCAATAGAAAAACTATTAAACCATTTATTAGAAGCAACCTTGGTAAATGAAACTAACTTAAAAAGTGAGTTCATTTTAAATTTGACATAGATTATCTTCAACTTTACTAATGTTCAATTACTAAACGGAAACCCGTATGTTAGGTCACCTTTTCGTGTTCATTCAGTAGACTAGTCGAAACTACACTGACTTGTTTATAACAGCCAGTTGTGAATGAAATATTTTCATAAAAATTCATCCCGATAAAAATTACAAAACACTGGATTCATAATCAAAATCGAGGATTAGATAAGCTTCAAACAGAACGACCTAGAAAAAAAGTTTCATGATATAATTGTTCAGAATTTACAACAATCATCACTTAGTAACACCTGTTACCTCTCATGCAGCACATGCTATTGACCGGCTTTCTCCAACCAATTCTATCTTGCACATGCCTTCCCAGTTCTAACCGACTGCTGTTCATCCTATTCATGTGTGTTTTGAGTTGTCGGCCTAATATGTTCTTTGGTCTATCTCTTCTCCTTTGGACTTGAGGAACCCATGTTAGGACTTGAATAGTTGTGTAGTTGGGTGACTGTCGCAATATGTCCTATCCACTTCCATAGCTCTTTCCTAATTTCTCATTCACCTTACAGCTGATCGTTTCTCTCCTAAAGTAAGTTGTTGTTGATGATGTCTAGTCAACGGATTTGGAGTATACTGCGTAGACAACGATCAATAAACAGTTGTATCTGGTGGATGATGGCTTTCGTAGTTATCCAAGTTTCCGCTTCACATAATAGAACAGTGTTGATGTTGGTACTGAAAATTGTGACTACGCGTCGGTGCACAGCTTTGTTGAGTTCCAGATGTTCTTCATATGTAAGCACATTACTGTTGCTTTTTTAAATCACGCCTTCACATCTAGATCAGATCCAACCTGTTTGTCGACTGGTGGTTCCAGATATGTAAAGCTTCCCAGATCTTCTCGAGCTTCACTATCAAGTGTCATTTGGTTTGTTAATTCTATGGTGCATTAAAGAACCTTGCTTCTTCCTCTGTGTATGTTGAGACTGTGGTGTGCCTATTTACTGCGTGTTCTTACGTTTCGTAATAAGCTCGTTCAGATTGTCTTATCCCAAATGACGTCTGACGGTTAATAAATCAGAAGATGAACTCCAAGTATCGTATACGTTTATTCGAGGCACACCACAAATCGAATTGAAGAAGCGAATTGGAGAAGGCTAAGAGCCAACTCATTGGATTACAATGCGAGCGAATGAATGAAGCGAATAGGAGAAGGCTAGTGAGCCAACTCTTTGGATTACAATGCGAGCGAATGAGTGAAGCGAATAGGAGAAGGCTGTTGAGCCAACTCAAAGAGATAGAGCATGACTAAGAATATATAGTCAGACAATAATAAGACAGACATATGACAAGCGAAATAGGTATGCACACACATGAATAAAAGCGACGAATGATTGACAAGGTCAAATGACAAGCGATACAAATCATGTGAGTTCATGGGAAAATTACGAGATTAACATTAAAGCGAAAAGGATGAGTAAGTGCGTAAGCGTAAGCAATGCTCAGTCGTATAAGCTCATACAAAGCAGATAATAAAAAATAACAATGGTACATATGAGTTGTTGCTATGCAAATAGCTTGGTTACATAAATTAATCGAAAGGCTTAATCAAATTAAATATGAGCGAACTCAAGTTTATGTGGAGGCACTACAAGTCCTTATGCTGCTGAGGCTGCTGCCAAACTGGTCGTATTCTCTGCTACTTGTAGCTGTGTGTGAGATAGAAGATACAGATCATCTGTGAGGTCCAGGTCATCAAGCTACATCCTGGCTGTCCAAAGAATATTATACTTCCCCTCAGATGTAGACATTTTCATAATTCATTAGGTCACCAGGAGGATGAGAAAGGTTCAGTGTCAGCAACCTTGCCTGACACAGGTCTTCAACTCGAACGAGCCTGTCAGCTGTTCTCCATGCACGATTTTGCAGTTCAGTCAATCATAAGAATTCCGTATGATAATGACTATCTTCTCAGGCACACAGCAGTGTTGAAGAAGGCTCCATAGTGTTGTCCTGTCCACACTATCGAATGATGTAGAGTGCTCAGTTGCATTCAATTGATTGTTCCACAATGATCCATAATGTTGCAGTTCGATCGGTACACGATCGATTCTTACGAAATCCAACCTGTTGATCTCGAAGTTAAGCGTTCAGGTAATCTTTCATTTCGGTTAAAACACACTGGTGAAGACTTTGCCCAGTATTAAAAGAAGAGTGATGCCTCTGTGCTTCTCACACTTGTTGAAATCTCCTTTCTTTGGTATTTTGATCAGGTGTCCTCTCCAGTTTGCTGCTACTAGTTTTTGATCCCCCAGTCTTGCTGAACATCTTTAATGTTACTGCTATGTCCGCTTTCAATATTGAAATGTTGTCTAGTCATTCTGCTGTACTACTATTTATTTGTTTGCGATCATGCTGATTACTTCAATTGTTGGTGTATCAACATTGTTCGAGAGATTGGTAGCTGCTACTTCGTTTTTAGGTGGGTTTTGTTGGGCTAGTCGATTCAAGAAATCCTCAAAGTGTTCTATGCACCTGTTTCCCTGTTCAGCAAAGTCGTCGATCACTTCCTCTTCCTTGTTTTGTATTGTTCGTTCAGGTTTACGATATCATCCAGCAACCAACTTCGTTGTATCGAACAGTTGTCTCATGCTTCTTTGTCTGAAGGCTTCTAGTTTAATTGCTGAACCTTCTACGTTTCTGCGCTTATTAGTCAAAGGGCCTCTCTTCGCTTGCTGACCCGCCTCTATATATCCGGTCTGTGCCTTGACTTTCTCTGCTCCCGCTCGGCTGTTATTGATTGCTGTCTTTCTGTTCTTCTTTTCTTGAATCTTGTTCACAGTAGGGACTTATCCGTTGTGATGATGCTTCTTATACTGCAGAAACGCTAAAGCTATTGCCACCGTGATTCCTTTTCAACTGTCTTCCACCGTGGATTCCTGTCCATCTAGTAGATCGTGAACGACCCAGAACTTGTTGCTGAGAGTAATCTTAAAAATTTGAGTTTGTCAATACCTCTAAGAGAGACCGTACTTAGCTTTTGTGATGCTGTTAAGTCAGTTGTCTAGCCTCTCTTCAGTTTCATTTTCATCTTAGCCAACACCAAGCGATGGTCTGAAGCATTTCATATCCTCATTTTTTTCACGCCTATATGGTACTTCTGAATTTTCAGTTGATGTGGATGTGATCGGTTTGGCTCTTTATTTTACGATCCACTGAAACCCGTGCCGCTTTTAACATGCGTTTGCGTGGTCATTTGGTGCTGACATTAGCAGTGTGCTAAAAGAACACAGATTTACGATTCTCTCACTGTTTTTATCCCTTTCTCCAAGTCTATGTCATCCCATGAAGTCTTCGTACCCACTATTGTCCATTCCGACATTGGCATTTAGGTTTCCCATCCAATCAGCTGAATCTTTATCCGGGTATTTCTAGACGACCGACTGGAGCATCTAATAGAATTTACTTTTATCATCTTCATCGGTATCGGTGATGGGTGCACAGCAGTGGGTCATATTCATTGTAATTCCTTCTTTCTATGTTTTGAAGGAGGCTTCAATTATCGATCGTTCACGAGATTCCGATTCCATTAGTGCTTTTTGTACTGGTTTGGACAGCATCAGTCGACTCCTTGTGTCTGGGTGAGGTAAATTCCTCTTCATGGCCGGATTATAACAGCATCTTCATTAAAGCTAGTCTTTGTTGTCCAACCTGCATTCAATGTGTTTTACTTATAACTAGCACCATCAGGTTGCGAATTCACGTTTCTGGGAGGACCTGAATGAATCTTCCAGTCTGCCATATACCGTATACCAATGTCCATTGGTGCTTTGGTTGTCAGTACGTGTATCGGCCTGGTAACTTCCGAAGAAACTCGGCTTTCACCATGTGGCGTTATAACTCTTCTAAATGAAAACTTTCCAGCTCCCAGAGCAAAGTATAAATGGTTTGAAACATTTGTTTCGGTTAGCACTTTTCTAACCAGTTAGTTTTCTATGCCCTAACCCTCTTCCTTCGTCCGGGCTGGAGACTGGCAGTAACCCTAGAAGGGCTCCTAGATGAGTTTTAGAATAACGAGAATATCGCTGACCCATAGATCTAATGCACAAGTCAACGAAGCAACGTAACGAGATGAGGTTTCACAGTAGCCGGTAGCGAACACTAAGTTTATACGCCATTTGTTCCGTCAGAATCCTGAAACACATAAGCACCACTGGTTTGGAACAAGGTGGATCCTCCCTACCCAACAACCAGGTTGAAACCCCTGCCTGACACTTTCTTATCGTCCTCACACTTTCCCTAACAAAACCACGCCACGGGAAGTCAATGAGTGAGACTTCCGTAACAGTGGCTATATGCGCATGGTTATATGAGAGCAATGCAGAAGAAGGGAGCACTCTCTTCACTCTCAGCCCCACCAGAGTATTTGGAGGTGTAGAGAAACTGAATTAGAATTATGTTGAGCAGCGTAGCATATTAATGAAACAAAATCTTTCTCAATACAACACAAACTAAAAATTAAAATATCCAAGCATTATAAGATTTAAATGACCCCAGATTTTTCATCTGAAGCTCTAATACCATGATTTCTGAGTTACTTTTGGTGCATAGTTTGTATTACTTTAAAATATAATACATATTCATGATCAAACTCCAATTGTCACTGAATTTCAAAGGTTTCACTGAACAACTGTTGAATTCATCAAATTATCAATAAGCTAATAAATACCAAAACTATAATGACTTAACTCCGCCAGTAGAACCTTAGGGGCTACTGCCGGTCCCAAGCCCGGATAAAGGAGGAGGATTGGACATGGGGTTGGCAACCCCATTCCGTCGAAATCTAACTTGCCAAAAAAACGCTAACCAGAAAAAATAATTCAAACCATTTTAACTCTGCCCTGGGAGTTGGAAGAAGAATTATGATGTCTCGTGATGAAAGCCGAGTTCCCTCGGAAGTCACGGGGCCGATGCCTCTTCTGACAACCAGAGCAACCATTATTTTAGGCCAAAGAACACACTACGCCGAGAAATAGAGAAAGATATGAGAGGAATGAACAAACATTGGACAGAACTGGAGAGGGAAGCCCAGGACAGAGTTGGCTGGAGAAAACTGGTGGGCGGCCTATGCTGCATTGGGGGTAACAGGCGTAAGTAAGTAAGTAAGTAACCATAATGACTTTATATTGTATGTTTACATCGAAACCACTCTATTAATTCGCTCATGAATCTGACATTCTCATGTGACTCAACTTGTATCACTGGCTTCAAAATTGGTTTCATAGATTGTAGTTTGATATCACTGGAAATCTATTTCTCAATATTACTTACTATCTTCTATGTATGATTGTGTATAAAATTCAGATTTCTCATTAGTGAATATTTATCTATTTTTTTCAATATATGCATCCTTATCAGTTTGATTAATTTTCAGGTATATTGGATGATTAATTAATGTCAAAATTAAGAAAATCATCATAATTAATTTTCATTTTTTAACGAATTGAAATGAATACATAAGAATTATGCTTTGATCTGAAGTATATCACACTATTGTTAATTTTCAGACAAAAATGACCAACATATTTTACTTCAACATACCAAGAACTTGTTTTCATGTCAAATAATAACTAAATTTTTTTTTATTTCAAAATTTCCAGTGTATAATTATTTTGTATAAACAGAAATGTTTGTATGTGAAGTAGTAGACATTTGGAAATCTCAGATTATCATCGTATACACGTTAGAATGCAGTTTAAACAAAATTTACAGTTATCTGTTCAAAAATGTTTTTCTTTCTTTTTTTAAATAAATCAATGAAGTTTCAATGTGACTGATAGTGTGAGTGATTCGACTTTTATTACTTAAGTAATTAAAGGTGTTCGAGAAAACGAACTTTGAACTTAGGATTTAGGCTATGTGACACCGACTAGAAAGGTGTATCTGGAGTCATTAAGAAATTGATTCCCGTTGTAGGATATCTGCGACCACTTAAAAATTAAAACTCTTATAAAATATGTTATATCTGTCACCAGTCGTAAAAGATTTAACTAACTTGCCTTCATTACTGAAAATCGTAAATTCTACAAATGAGTAATCAAAACAGAAATAGTCTTGATTGATCTGATCCGAGAAACAAATGAAAACGTTCACACTCTCATAGAATTAATTGTTATTCATTCATATCAGTATATATAAGCTATATGGTACAATCAATACAATACTTGAAAGAGCTGAGCTATAGAAAACAGTTTGTTGGCAAATGAACCAATATTTCTCCAAGTCGAACACATTTCAAAGCTCTTTCTTTATTATGTTTTTAGACAGACGTGTTTTTTCTCTGTGGAAGTAATGTTTTCACATCCCGATATTTGATAATCATACTTTTACATTATGTAATAAATCGTCTAAGTAGACTTCGTCATATCTTAATTAGTAATAGTGATTCCTGTGCGCAGTCGATGATAGGTGGAAAAATAATTTTCCGACAGATACTAACAAAATTCCTCTTCGAAAAACCTAAACAGTTTGATAAAAAGTACGATTGTTCTTCAGCGATAGACTTACTGATAGAGACGACTTATCCAATCATACATAAATTATGCTGAGTAGTTTACGGATAGAAATGACTGGATTCACATCAATTACCAATTACAATTAGATTAAGTGATAATTTTATTTTGTAAAAATCATTTTACAAATCTTATAGGAGAACAAACATCAGCAAAAAAATATCGATTTAATTTTAATAAAGTCAATGTTCAACAAACCAGTCAACCTACGGCCAAATATTTTTGTGAACAAAACCAACAACAAGAATGTGGAATGCCTATTCCTGCAACAAATGAAAAATCAATAGTACCATATTGCAACGATGAAAACAATTTGACTTCCCAAATTCAATCGAATTCACAGCACAGTAAATATAGTGGAGACTGTTTTATTCAAAGGCGAAATACTGATTTAAGTAGGTAGAAAATAATTTATTTTTTGTCATTCTGTTGTTATTATATAAATATATATATAACTCATTACTTATCGGTAATCTTTCTTTTCTAGTGTGATAGTAGTATTTTGATTTCTGTTAAATTTAAAAAGTGTTCAGTGAAGTTACATAGTAAATCGATCATTTTGGTAATGTTACATTACCTGAAATTCTGTTATCCGTTTGAAAAATAAGTATAATCAGTGTCTACCTAAAATAAGAGTATTTTATGATAAAATTCAGTGATACAGTCAATTGTTTCATAATTTGTAGTATCATGCCTGAATGATTGAAAATGCTTTTCACTAGTTAATTCTGATCAATATGGTGTTTATCTATGCTGCAATATATCCGAAATGTTACAAAATCTTAATTAACCTGAGAAGATTCTGTATGAACAATAATAATATTGAGAAGACTAAGGCAGGCGCGGTTGATTGTGATTAGCAAATTTACACTCTTAGTCAAGTAAAAACGAAAACATTACATTGAACACTCTATTTGCACACCATCTTCGAGTCCTCACTTTCAACGCTCCAGCCTTCTTCCATTCCTGCTGTTGCTTCCTTTACTTCCTGTTTGTACTCCATTTACTTCTTGCTTTTGCTCCATTTGCTTTCCGTTTTCCTCTTGTGACCGTGAGACTTCTTCTTTCACGTCCCTTCTTATACTACTTATATCGTTCGCATAAGTAGCACACACCACACTCGTCCCCCCTATAACAAGTCGCTCTCTCAGTCTTTCTGATCGCCGTACAGACGTCTTCTTTATCAGTGTTTGTGGCTCGCCCTCTTGGCGCACTTGGAACCACCTTTGGAGTTCACTGGCATTCACGCGTTTCTGTTTGTTTCCTTTCTGGATCGTATACACTGCGCCTCGCCTCTCGGTGACGACGTACGGTCCCTCCCACTTCGGGATGAGCTTAACTGACCCTGGCCCTCTTCCTGTGGTATATTTCCGTTCTCTACACTTCACTCGGTCTCCCACTTCAAACGGTCTCCAGTTCTTTCTCTCCTGTTCTGACTTCTCCATGTCTGATGTTTGTTTCTCTCTCACATTCCTGGTTGCTTGTCTCCGCTCTGTTCTCAATCTTGTTGTATTCCATCTCTGTTGTTGCGGCCAGGTTTTATCATGTGTTGGTAGTCTTGGCCGTCTGCCATACATCAGCTGGAACGGTGACTTCCTGGTTGTTCCCTGTGCCGAGGCACGATGTGGCAGCAAGATTAATGGTAATTCTTTCTCCCAGTCACCCCCTTTAGATGCTAGCCATTCCTTTAGCGTTCGGTTATTCCTTTCCGTTAACCCATTCGTCTGTGGATGATACGGCGTTGTTCGGACTCTCTTGATACCTAACTGTTTCAGACAGGACTTGAACTCATCACTCTCGAAACAGGGACCTTGATCGGTTAATATTATCTTTGGTATCCCATGGTCCGCCACAATGTGCCGCATTACCGCTTCCGTCACTGTCCTTGCACGTTGGTCCGCCATCGGCACGGCATTTACCCATCGTGTGGCATGCTCAGTCATCACCAGCAGGTACTGGTTACCACTTGTCGTCTGCGGGAACGGTCCAATAACATCCACTGACCACTAATCACCAACTGCTGTTACAGGGATTGACTGCAATGGCGGTCGTATGCATCGATCCCCTTTCATTAGTTGACATCGCTGGCACGCTAATACATATCGTGCAACATCGTCTCTCATACCTGGCCAGTACGCACTTTGTCGCAGCAAATCAGTTGTCCGCGCTATACCTGTGTGCGCTACCTGGTGACATTCACGAATCATCTCCTGGCGCAGATCTTTTGGGATTATTGCTACCCAATTCTCGTCATCATCCCGCCAGGTCAAGGCTCCGTATCCGTTCACTATCAGTCTCTACTTCTGCCCTAGCAACACTGTTAATTCTTTGTCGACATCTTCTCCCTCTTTTATCACTCTCATGACCTCTCGAAGGTTAGGGTCGGCTTTCTGATGTCGGGCGAGTTCTAGGGGATCTCCCTCTAGGCCGTTAACTGCATACGCTATCTCTGGAAGTTCGGCTTCGGTGTCCGGTCTTGACAAATAATCTGCCATTACATTTCCCCCCCCCTGGCACATGCCCGATGCTAAAATCACACTCCTGTAGACATAGCATCCATCGAGCCAACTTCCCCCGAGGGTCTTTTGCTGTTTTCAACCATTTTAGGGGCGTATGATCCGTCTCGATGTGAAATCGCCGACCCAGTAGATACGGTCTCCATTTGTCTACCGCCCATACAATCGCTAAACACTCTTTTTCTACTGTGGAATACTTCTGTTCCGTCGGCGTAAGGACACGGCTGGCATACTCCAGCACTCTGTCAGACTGCCTCAAGACGGCACCTATACCGTGATCGCTCGCATCAGTGGTCACTGTAAATGGCTTCTCGGGTTTCGGCAGTCTCGGCGTCATTTGGCGGTCATCTAACAGCTCTTTGATTCGTTCGAAGGTTTGTTGAGCGGTCTCTGCTCACGTAAACTTCGCATTGCTTAGCACTTTATATAGAGGTGCTGCTATATCGTTGAAGTTCTTCACGAATCTGCTGTAGAAGGCCGATTTTCCCAGGAACTGTCTTAACTTCCTTTTTGAGTTGGGAACTGCAATATTCTTTATCGTTAGAATCTTCTCCGGCAGTGGTTTTATTTCTCCATTGCCTACTTTATGCCCCAGCAACGCGACGCTTCTTTTCGCAATCTGAGTCTTGTCTTTGTTAATTCGTAAACCAAACTCATCAATTCGCCTTAGGACCGCCTCCATGTGCCTCACATGTTCTGCCTCTGTACGACCATATACGACCAAATCATCGCCATACACCTCGACATTCTCCAGGTTCCTGAGCAGCGATGTCATTAGTCTTCGAAACGTAAACGGTGCGCCCGCCAATCTAAAGGGCATTCGTTTATATTAATACTGCTTCTCCCGTACGGTAAATGCCGTTTTGCTGCGATCACTGTCTTTTATTAGTAGTTGCCAATAGCCCGACCGTAAATCTAACACTGTGAACACCGTAGCACTCTGTAGACGATCTGATGTCTCCGCTATTGTTGGCATTGCACACGGTTTTATTTCTGTCACGTTATTTAGTTCTCTAAAGTCAACACAGAAACTATACTTTCCATTTGGCTTCTTTACCAAAAGTACCGGCGAGCTGTACGGGCTGTCTGCTTCTTCAATTATACCTGCCTTTAACATCTCCTGTACTAGCTGTTTTATCTCAGCTTCCAAATGTTCGGGGACCCGTCGTGTTGTGAAGATGGTCACTTCTTCGTTCTTTATCGGAATTTCTTGTTTAACTTTATTACAAAACGCGTACGGTTCTCCATCTCCCGTGAACAACTTCGTATATTTCGTGAGCACCTCTTTAATGTTCTGTTTCTATCCACTGTCCTCTTTTGCTACTCTAACCTCAGCCACCTCGCTGCTTTCATGTATTGTCAGTGTGCAGTACTTTGTAATCACCTTCTTACTTCTTGTATCAATACTTGCTCCTATTTCTCTCAAGAAATCTGCTACTAGTATTGGCCTCGACAAGTTCGTAGTTACCACAAAGGGAAACTGTATTTCCGAATTGCCGATTTTCACGATATTATTTGAGACTCCTAGGATTTTTGACACGTGACTCTCGCATAGACCACCCCCCCCTCTTCCAATGTCCGGTTCCTCCGCAAATATAGCATTTATTATTTCTTTCACCCTTTATTCGTAACGCTGCCACCTCTCGTTGCAATTCTTCTATCTTCTTCACGACATCATCAGCCTGTCTTTCACGTCCCTTCTTATACTATATATATCGTTCGTATAAGTAACACACACCACAATATAACTGACTAAATTATAAGTTCTTTCCTGCAAATTTTAGTTACACTATATTTAGCTTGTCTTTTAAAGCCTTAAAGTTAAATGTTTCGAGGCAACTAGCGCTGTGAATTGAATAATTAGGTTGATCACTCTTAAATGTAGAGAATAGTAATCTTTCCATTTAAAATACTGATCGATTGGGTTGATGAACTGTGTTTAAATGTTTGCGAGATCATGTAAAGTGAACATAAGCTTTTGAGCCAATACTTTATTCTACAGTAATAATTCTAGCCTATCACTTTATTGATTTAGTCATGTACGAAGTAAGTGTTATTTTTTTCAACAAATACGCATATACTCTTGTAACACTTTGTCTTGCAATCCGTCAGGATAAAATGCAATCAAATCTCATGTTTAGGGTTGTGTGCAACCGCATCAAATGACCGGAATTTCACTAGGAGTGAATCTCTTGATATGATGCAAACATATGATGATTTGCTGCTACCTTGTAGGTATGTTTAGTGCTGAGTCAGTCAGTCAGTTACAACTTAGAACTTCGTACCTACGTACATCAGTTCAGGTTGTCATACGTCATTAGCACAGAGATGCAACTGTCAATTCAAATCCCATTATGATAGAGATAGGAGAAGTATTAGCGGTATTCTGAAAGATTAACGTTCGAAGAAATTATCCAAGTTCAATTCAGTGAGGTGACTTTAGAAAGAGAAAGATAAATGTGATAAGGAATTCAGAAGATTATATATTGGGAGAAGACAAAGAGTGAATGCACCTGCACAATAGAAAACTATTTTGAGCCATATCATTCCAAGTCTCTAACCATAGGTTACTATCGTCTCGCAAACCCAAGCCAGGTGGTCTTTACCTACAGACGTGGCTCAGTCCACTTGTCAGTGACTTTATGCATTTATGCCATGTTTTGATTTGGCCACTCCTAAGGACAAGCTGAAGTCAGTTTAATCACTGTACTCGGATGCTGAATGCATGTTTCGGAGAAGCAGCCTACAACGATGGCGAGAGATTCTAAGGTTCTAGCCAAGGAAGCTTGTTGTCTTAAATGACGTAGTATCCGGACATTAAAAGTTCCAACATAGAGTTAAGAAGGGAGTTTCATGAGACCAAGAATAACGTTTCGTGGACTCGAAT